CAATGGGCTCCAAGCAGAGCGAGGCCGGCAAGATGGGGGCGCGAGGAGGGGGAAGGACGGCAGAGCCCGGGGCTCGCCGACCAGGGTGATGGCAGCGCGGGGCGGGGGTCCCTACATCGGGGCCGGTCCCGCTACTCGGGCAGGGGCGGGGAGACGGAGGGGGAGGTGAAGGGAAAACGGCCGGCGGCGCCTTTAATCAGCACCCGCTGGCTCAGCCCACCCGGTAGAGCGACAGGAACGGGGAGGGGGGAGGGGAGGGGCGTACTTTCCGGAAGTGCTGCTACAGCAGCTCCTGGTCCTGGCCCCGCCCCTTTCCCTGTCTGGAACTAGGGCTGCTCCTGAAGCGGCTTATGCTATTGGTCCTCAAGGGTAGACTCCTCCCCCTTGAGGCGTGGCGAGCCGTCGCGATCTCACGTGACTTGCACTAACTTCGGTACATTAAACATTGGGTGCCGAAGGCGGGGCTCTGTCCAAGCTTCTTAAAACGGCAATGATCCCTCCTGGCTGTGGGACCATTTTTTTCCTGGGCCTTTTCAGCTGTAGCTCTTTTTACTTGAGAGGAAAGAAGGGTTGTCAATCAGTCTGCTCAAGTGTCCAGAGGAATTGAGCAGGGAATTGCAAAGGTTCACCGTGGAGCTATTGCCCGATCTCCTCGATACTTTCCCCCCCACATCTCTGAAGCTTAAAACTACCAAGCTAGTAATTCCTATTGACAAGGACACTGATGCCTAAAGAACTGTAGACATCCATCCCTGAATTAGTTGGTCAGTCAATGAATATACAGTATAACAAAGACCTCTTACACCGGGGACATTTTTCTAGGCCAAGGGGGTTTCTTGGAAAAACGTACATTAAAAAAAAAATACTGAGTATATGAAGCATAATTTCTAAGAGTAAGAGGCACACAAAGGCTCTAAGTAAAAGTGACATTTGAGCCCACACTGAATGTGCTGCAAGAATCAAGCTAGTGACAACCTGAGAAGAACTCTCATCAAAAGGCAAAGACAAACGCCCAAGCTTGTTCCTGGGCAGAAAGAGGGCATCATGGGAGGGAGAGAAATAGGTAGGAGCCAGAACACACAGGATATTGCCAGTCACCGACACAGGAAGAAATTTGGACTCTTAAACTGGTTGTGAGCCTCTGGGCTTGATATATATTGGAAGGAGAACCAACAGGACTTACTGTTGGATTAGCTATGGGGCATCGGAGAATCCACATAACAATAGGAGCTAGGAATAGGACCCAGATGTACTTATCATTATTGTATAGCCTGCTAAGCATATACACACGTTTATTTCCTCCATTATCTTACACAGTGTTTTATCTAGTGTGTGGTGGAGGCAACTGAACCCATAGCTTTGCACATGCTAGGGAAACTTTGGCCAAGCTACATCACCGGCCAGCCCTGTGTGTGTGTGCACATTGCAGCACGCACCCAGGGCAGAGCATAGGGTTGGTTGGTGTTGTTCCTCAGGTGTGCCTGTTTTGTTGTTGTTTTTCTGTTTGTTTTTGAGACATGGTTCTCTCACTTGTCTGGAAACCACCAAATAGACTTGGTTGGCTGTTGCCACTTCCCCAGCACAGGGCTCACGAGCACAGTGCACCACCGCCATGCCTGGCTTTTTACATGGGCTTTGGGGATCCACTTTGACCCTCATGCCCACAAGCTTGAGCTATCTAGCAAGCCCCGAGTCCTTTTTGAAATTTTTGTTTGTTTGTTTGTTTTTCAAGACAGGGTTTCTCTGTGGTGTTGGAGGCTGTGCTGGAACTAGCTTTTGTAGACCAGGCTGGTCTCGAACTCACAGAAATCTGTCTGCCTCTGCCTCCCCAGTGCTGGAATTAAAGTCGTGCACCACCACTACCTGGCTCTTAAAATTTTTTGTTGTTGTTGTTTTCATTTTCTGGTTGCTTTTTGTTTGTTTGTTTTTGAGATAGGGTTTTTCTGTGTAGCTCTGGCTGTCCTGGAACACGATCTGTTGACCAGACTGGCCTCGAACTCACAGAAATCCTCCTGCCTCTGCCTCCCAAGTGCTGTGACTAAAGTTATGTGCCACCACCGCCTGACTTTTTAAAATTCTTAATCAAAATATATAATGCTTGTACGTAGTTATGCTGACTAGTTTTATGTCAACTTGACATAAGCTCAAGTTATTCTAGAAGAAGGAATCTCAGTTGAGAGAATGCTCCCTCCAGATTGGCCTATTGGCAAGCCTGTGAGACATTTTCTTGATTGATAATGACTGATATGGGAGGTGCCATCCCTGGGCTGATGGTCCTGGGTTCTATAAGAAAGCTGACTGAGGGAGCTGGAGAGATGGCTCAGCAGTTAAGAACACTGTCGGCCCTCCCAGAAGACCCTGGTTCAATTCTCAGCACCCATATGGCAGCTCACAAGTGTCTAATTCCAGTTCCAGGGGATCCACCCTCACATAGGCATACGTGCAGGCAAAACAACAATGCACATAAAATAAAAACAAGTAAATCATGAATGAAAGAAAGGAAGAGAGAGAGAGAAAGAAAGAAAGCAGGCTGAGCAAGTCAGTAAGCAGCACTGTTCCATGGCTTCTGCATTTGTTCCAATCTCCAAGTTCTTGTCTTGAGTTCCTGCCCTGAATTCCCTGGATAATGGACCACAAGCTGTGAGATGAAATAAGCCCTTTCTTCCCTAAGTTGCTTTTGGTTAGGGTATTTCCTCACAGTGATAGAAACCTGAGCCAAGACAATACTCACGATGTCTAATATGCTAAGTCATTGACACAAATATACAATGTGTAATGACTTTCGTTTTCTAGGACTAAATAGGGATTAAGCCCAGGGGCCCACTCATACCAGGGTATTAGGCAATTACTCCATCACTGAACTCTATCTGCAGATTTTTTTTTTTTTTTTTTTTTTAAACAGGGTGCAGAGATGGACAGGGTTTTATTAAGTTGCCCAATCTGGCTTTAAACTTGATTTGTAGGCCTGTCAGACCTTGTAATCCTCCTGCCTCAGCTTCCTGGACAGCAGAGATAACAGGCTTATGCCACCAGGCTTGGCTTGAAACTGTTTTAAATGACTCCCAGAAGTTTCTTGTTGGGCTCAAAAAGAAACTATTTAGGAAGAGGCTACTTACCAAGGATGGGGAGAATCAAAGAACATTCAGTCCTGGCAGGGGTATTTTCTATGTTATATTTGATTGGCTCAGATATCTAATGGCAATATTGAAGGACACATCTATGTACAGACACA